ATATATACATCTACCTACCCATCTACCTCTCCATCTATCAATCTACGTATCTATCTATCCACTGTAAATGTTACCTACTTATCCACATATAACCCAAATCACCTCTCCTCCTTCGTCGCATCATACCCCAGGATTATCCAGCATCCAATCTGAGTCTCTCTTCCCTTTCGACCCCAAAGGACCCAAGGGAGAGTGAGTCACGGCCGGCCGGGCACGCGGTCTTTGGGTCTCCATTTCTGTGCTATCTTCAGCGTTGCAATTCAACACCCCGGTGCTCGTTGTGTCTCGTGGGGTTGCAGTCTGCGCTTTGCAGGGTGTTGTTTTCATAATGCGGTGTTTTGTGTAAGGGTTGTGATATATATATGTGTGTCTATATATATATATATATATATATATATATATATATATATATATATATATATATATATATATATATTTATATATGTATATACATATATATATGTTTATATATATATATATATATATATATATATATATATATATATATATATATATATATATATATATTTATAGGTGTGTGTGTGTCTGTGTATTATATATATATATATATATATATATATATATATATATATATATATATATATATATTTCATATATATATATTATATATATCATATATAGTATATTATATATGTATTATATATATATATATATATATATATATATATATATATATATATATATATATATATATATATATATATATATTACATTTACACACATACTCACACACACAGATCTATAAATGTGTGTGTGTGTGAGTGTGCACCTACGTCCACCCTCAGACTCATATCCCGCATTATCTGCTACTTCCGAACAAGGGCGCTCTGTGGGCGTCCGCACTCGAGGCGAAATCCCGCACATCCTGCTGAGAGAAAGAGAGCCACTCAGGGGAAGCTGTACTGGGGGGGCGGGGGGGGGGGGGAAAGGATGGTAGGAGGGATAGGAGAGATAGAGGGGGAGGGGGGGGAGAGGGAGGGAGAGGGGTAGGGGGGTGAGGGCGGCGGATGCAAGAGCGGATTGCTGTTGCTACTGTCATTGTTGTTATTTTGTTGTTTTTCTTGTTTGTTTGTTTTGTTTGTTTTGTTGTAGTTTGTTATTGTTGTACTATCATTGTAGTTGTGATTATCATTTCAGCAGTATTTTCATTCTTATTATTATCATTATTATTGTCATTATTATCAATATCATTATTGCCATTATCATTATTACTGTAGTTATTAGTAACATCATTATCATTGCTATTATTATTGATATCATTGCCATTATCATTATCATTATCTCAATTACTTGCTGTTGTAATTAATACCATTTCTATTAGCGTTGCCATCATCATTTTTTTCATCATCATCATCATCACCATTATCATGTTTATTATCATTATTAGTAATTGTAGTAGTGTTATTAGCATAACTAATAGCAGTAGTAATACAGTACTAAAACTATAACTATAATCACAATCATTATCATTAGTAGTAGTAGTAGTAGTAGTATCAATCATTATCATCGATAGCAGTTTTAGTAGTTGTAGTAGCAGTAGTAATAGTATAAGTCGTTGCTATTGTTGTTGTTGTTTTTGATGTCGTTCTATAGTATAAGGAAGAATTCAACTATGTCTATTTGTGGTTCTCTCTCAATCAGCGTTTTCTTAACAGAAGCCTAAACAGACGCATTTCCCCGCGTTCAAACTTCTCTGACATTTGCCTCCTTTTCTCTCTCTCTCTCTCTCTCTCTCTCCCTCCCTCCCTCCCTCCCTCCCTCCCTCCTCTCCTCTCTCTCTCTCTCTCTCTCATTCTCTCTCCCTCTCTCTCTCTCTCTCCCTCCCTCCCTCCCTCCCTCTCTCTCTCTCTCTCTCTCTCTCTCTCTCTCTCTCTCTCTCTCTCTCTCTCTCTCTCTCTCTCTCTCTCATTCTCTCTCTCGTCGGGTGCCATTTTTAGTCCGACATTTACACTTCCTCTGACAGATACATTCATATCCTGACACCGGAGGAAAGACATCCCCAGCATCTCCGAATTCTTTCATTTCGCTTTTCGTCTTCTTTTGTTTGTCTTCTTTCTTTCTCTCCTTTGATATCCCCCGTTCTTATCATTTTCTTACCTCTTCTTCTTCTTCTCCTCCTCCCTGCATTCTGTTATCGTCCCTGTCCTTCTCCTTATCCTCTTTCCCATCTCTCTCCCTCCTCTATCCCATCTTTGCCCCTCCTTTCCCTCCACCCTTCTCTATTCCCCCCCCTCCCCACTCCATCCCGTTCCCTTCACCGCCCTTCCTCCCCCCCCCCCCATCCATTCCGTTCCCTCCACTGCCCTTCCCTCCCCCTCCACCTCCCTTCCTCCTCCCCCTCCTCCGCTCCACCGCCCTTCCTCCCCCCTCCCTCCATCCCGTTCCCTCCCCCCCCCCCCCCTCCTCCTTCCGTTTTCAGCCGGGGTCGTGACCGCCATCACGTCGCCATCCGTGCCAGTTGCTCAGGGGATACGAACGCAGAACATTCCAGAGTGTCCTTGAATGTTGCGCATCTTGTCATTATTCAAATACCAGGTTTTATTTATTTTTTTCTCTCTCTCTCCTTGAGGATGGGTCATTAGGCCTAAAAAGCTTTCGTTTAATGGGTCATTTTTTAAAATAGGGTTTCCTACGTTGCTGACGGTTGGGCTAATGAAGTATATAAATTATGTTGCCAGTTTTTTTGTCCTTAATTCTCTCGTAGGGAGGGAGATATTTATAGATTGGGAGACTAACAAAAAACGCTACTGATATATTTAGACAGGTAAAAGTATGGATATATATATATATATATATATATATATATATATATATATATATATAGAGAGAGAGAGAGAGAGAGAGAGAGAGAGAGAGAGAGAGAGAGAGAGAGAGAGAGAGAGAGAAAGATATAATGATAGAAAGAAAAAGATATAGAGAGATAGATAGGGAGATAGAGATCGCTTGATATACTGATATATAAAGACAATTTTCCTATGTCTTTTTTTTAATCACGTGAAAAGAAAATTAACATCAAAATCGTATATATTTGTATAAACTCGGATCACATTCCTTATAAATGGATTCAGATGAAGATGAACAGGATAAGACAAACCCAGATGAATAGTTTATTAATAATATATTTGCTTCAGTAGAGACATAAATATATGTAAAATCTTTAACACTGATTTTTTTTCTTGTATGTACAACATATTTACATAATTACAATAGAGTAAACAACAAAGGGAAACCGTGTATCAATAATACTCACTTTAACCAATATAAATAATATGTGTAAGTATTAAAGGTACACACATGCATACAGTTGAAAGGTCAAACACAAAACACATACGATTGCAAAATGGCTCGTAACAAGAAGCTGTGATTTTATTTCTCTTTATAAAATCACATAAATTTCTATCTCCTTTGCACCTTTGACTTAATATTTCGTCGCGTTTTTGGTTCATATACCTTATATATATAAGAAAAAAATATTTTCCTTTTCTTGGAGATGGAACTGGATTTTCTTTTTTCTGTATCGATTTTTTTTTCTTTCGATAAATACAAAATTTAAAAAAAATGCCTATCATTTAATTTAATGCCTCACGTAGCCCCTGCTGTGCGTTCGTTAATGCCTCTTAAAATATGATTCCATTTGCTTTTTTGGAACGACTTTGGAATACTAACAAAAAGCAGGATATATAGAGTATGGATATAACGTATATACTGCAATACATTGTTCATATAACGTTATACTTCCATTTTTATCCGAAAAGCAGTCAAGATCACAAACAAGAAGTAAATAAATCAATAATTTTCTTCTCCTTTTTACGTAACTCCTCCAATCTAATTAAAATTCCTAGCCAGTGATTCCCAACAACGCAAGGCTTTCATACCTGCCAATTTATGAAAAAAAAAAAAATCTGACACGACGCCACCAATGCAATACTTGGCTGCAATTTGAGTGGGGTTCCTTCATCTTACTACCCCCCCCCCTCCTCTCTCTTACAGTGTGTGTGTGTGTGTGTGTGTGTGTGTGTGTGTGTGTGTGTGTGCCTGTGTAAGTGTGAGTGAGTGAGTGATTGTGTGTGTGTGTGTGTATGAGTGTGAATGTATGAGTGTGAGTGTGTGTGTGTGTGGTTTGAGTGTTATGTTGAGTGTGTGTGTGAGTGCCCCCCCCCCCCCCCCCCCGTATGTGTGTGATCCTCGACCTCCTTCAAAACGGGTAGCTCCATGAATCCTGTTATTATCCTCCCCTACAGAGGATTCCTTTGATGTGAAGGGGGGGCGAAAGGAACCCTCTTCCCCCCCTCCCCCTCCCTCTCCCATCCCCCACCCCCCTCTCTCCCCTCCACGTTATCTACTCGTCTTATCGGATAAAAAAAGAAGCTCTTGTCTTTCCTACTTTCGTATTTCCAACGCGTAAGATTTTTTTGTTTGTTTATATTTTGGCTATCGATAGGAGACCGATTTCGTTTTTCATATTATTTCTTTCTTTAACTCTCTTTCTCCATTTGTACTATCAAAGCGATTTGTGTTCATCCTTAAAAATAAGAATATTTTTATTTTTATATAAGAATGACTTAGAAGCTGACTATCATAGAGAACAGGAGTATACTATCAAGTCTTAAACATTACAGGTCTCGGGAAAAAAGAGCATATTTGGTCGCTAAAATGTACTATACAATTCCTTATTTGCGGTCAAACTAGACCTTCGTTTTCCTTCTCCTCCTCCTCTAAGTTTCCTCCCTAAAAAAAGCGGAAACTGTCAAAAAATATGTATAAAAATGACAAGATATGAGATGATAAACTAGAAATGAACGAAAGATGGAGAAAAGTATCCACGCGTCAAAACAGAACGGTAACGTGCGAAGTTATATATGTAGAATATACATCCATCCATCCGTCCGTCCACCTATCCACATACAAACACACGAACACACGTCCCCACGAACAACACAACCGTAACACGCACCCCCCCCCCCCCCCCGCCTCCCCAACACTCACTGTAACAACAGAACACCTACTCACTGACGATATTAAGCTCAGTTCACAACAAAGAACTGACACACTAAGAGGAGGAAGAAGAACTGGAGTTTCGCACGCAACGCGATTGTTTTCTTGTCTCCTCTTCCTCTCCTTCCTTCTCCTGTTCCTCTTCCTCCTCTCTCTCTCTCTCTCTCTCTCCTCTTCCGACGTCGACAAGACACGGAAAGAGCGAGGTCTGAGCTACGCGGAAAGAGGCGCAAGAAAGCTGGTGACACACTTTAAGGGAAATGATGAATAGCGATAACGAAAGAAAGACAGGAAGATAGAAAGAAAGACGGGGCGAAAAGAAAGACAAAAAACTGACAGCTTATAAACAAAGAATCGACACGTATTACTTCTTGAAAACAGCGGATGTCCGTGAACTTTTCACGCCGCTGTTTCTAAGCAATTCTTACAATGGCATGTTGGTGATACAGTAAAAAATAAATGAAACAGAGAAAGAGAGAAAGAGAGAAAGAGAGAAAAAGAGAAAGAAAGAAAGAAAGAAAGAGAGAGAGAGAAAGAGACAAAGACAAAGACAGACAGACAGAGAGAGAATGAACCATGATAATTATTTTTATTACTACGCGTCGCACTTGCCCCTTTCACGTGACCTCTGGCGGCACTGAAGGCACGAAAGAAAGGACCTCCTCCATCGACTCACTGGAAAAGCAATAATCTCGCAGCTCCATAACACGTTCCTTGCCTTCACGTACGAAAAAAACAGGGACCTTAAACTTATTTAGCTTCGCTTTTCTCTCTTCTCTCGGAACACAATCTTCTGATATTGTATTTTCGAGAAATATATATATATAAATGTGCGTATATACGAGTCGTAGGGTTGACTCGTCTCCACTGGTATCAACACGAGGACAGCCGTCGCTCTGAGCATCTGCAATGGAGAAGAAACGACAAAATTATTCACCTTTTCAAGAGGGATTTCTGTATTACATTGGTAGCATTCGTAATTTTAGAACTGTTGGACCATATCAGACAGTGTGAGACGTTGGAAGAAGGAAGGGGAAGGAGGAAGAGGCTGAGAGAGAGAGAGAGAGAGAGAGAGAGAGAGAGAGAGAGAGAGAGAGAGAGAGAGAGAGAGAGAGAGAGAGAGAGAGAGATGAAAGGAGAGAATTAGGAAGAGGACGTGAGAGAGAAAGAAAGACTGAACGAGAGAAAGTTTGATCAACTCACCAAATCTTTGGCATGGGGCATCTTTGGCGAGAGGCGGCGCTCAGATGTAGAAGCAGTTCTCGTAATTCGGGCAGCAGGACGACCTTCTCTTGGGCAGCGGCGGCTCCTCGGGCTGAGAGCTGCTGCCCAGCGTCGCCAGAGAGGACGACGAGGCCGAGGACGAGATCGCCTTCGCTGGGGAGGCTGAGGCAGAGGGAGAGGGCGAGGCTGAAGACGATGGCGCGAGCGTCGTCGAGATAATGATGGGTTTCGGGAGGCTGCTGCTCTCGCTCCGGCTGGCGGGGGGCGCGGGCTGGCCCCTCTGCTGCGGCGTCGAGACGATCTTGCCCGTCACGGTGATGATGTTGAGGATGGTCCTCGGGACGGGCTTCGGCGCCACGGGCTTGTCTCCTGCCGGGGAGGAGCCCTGCGGCGCGGGGGAAGGCACGGGGGGCTTCGACGCTTGGGTCGTCGTCGTTATCGTCGTCGTCGTCGTCGTTATCTGGGGTTTGGACGCGTCGGCGGCGGGCGCTTTGGCGTCGCCGGAACTCGCGCTCTTGGCGGGGGACGACGCCGGGGACACGACGGGGGACGACTTCGCGGACGACGCCGGGGTCGCGACGGGAGAAGACGTCGCCGATGACGTGGGCGTCGTGACGGGGAGAGCGCCCTTCAGGGACGCCAGGGACATGATCGGAGACGCCATGGAAGACACTCCTGACGAGGAGCCTTCGGAGGAGTCGCTGCCGCTGGACGAGATGCTGAGGGCGGAGGAGACGCTGGAGGTGGAGATGAGGCTGCCGATGGTCGTGTTGTGGTCCTCGTGCTCGGACTCGGTGTCCGTGCTCGACTGGTCCAGGCTCCTTCTCCACGAGACCTGAGGCGAAGTAGAAAAACATAATTAGAACAAATGCAACCATTCATTCGCGGAGACTTTTGCCGCATCACCATCAATAAGAACCGACTGTTTATTGCTTTTCTGCTTGAACTTACTCTTGACTTGAGGCTGAGGGTGTAGGAGACGTTTCTGCGCAGGACGAAGGCGTAGTTGTGGCGGGAGGCTCTGGGCCACTCGCTCTGCACCAGCAGCGGGAACTCGTCGGGCTCGAGCGGCCGGTCGCTGTACGGGTTCTTGTTGACTTCGTGCACCGCGTAGTTCTTGGGGTTCTCCTTGCTGCTGTAGCAGTTGAGGAGCAGCTGCACCAGCTCCTCCGCCGTCGTGCGGTACGACACCAGTAGCGACTTGTACTGCGACTGAAAGAGAAGGAGAGGAACTCATAAATAAACCTTCCTGAGCCGTAGTACTACGAGACAAAACTTCAACTGATCATAGGCACTGAATTCCTCCGCCAGGCAGAGGGCGGCACTCACCCCGGGCATGAGGATGGAGTCGTGCACGCGCAGCAGCCCGCCGCGCCGGACGCCCACGCTGAAGCGAGCCTCCCCGCGGGGACGACACTGCTGCAGCTCCGCCGGGCACGCATGGTCGTCCAGCACCAGGAGTCGTCGAGCAGGGGCGCCTCCCCCTGGCCCTCGAACCACGACCTCCATCGTCACGTAGAACAGGTTGGGGTCGCGGTGGCGCAGACGGAACTTGGCCAGGAGCATGAGGATCAGCTGACGGCACGTTGTGGAGGACGAGAGGCTGACGGTCTTGTACTCGATATCAGGACGCAGGGAGCGCAGGTAGACCTTCACGGGCGTCTGTGGAGGGAGGAAAGGGACAACTCATTAGACTTCATCTCCAATATCTATTTACATATTAAGTATTTAGTATCTACTCTTAACAACCGAGAGAAACCGGATAAATGAAGGCGATTGTATCAAGAATAACACATACATATACATAAAAATAGAAACGAAAACACTGATAACAAGTCTACATATCAAAAACGGACATGCCAGGCTCCCGACACGTATACAAAAGATAACAAAACAAAAAAACAAACACGATTATATCTTAACGACAATTAAAAACAAAAGATAACAACAATACTAAAAAAAATAGCCCCATCACAGCACCACTTAGCGGAGAGAGATTCAATCAGCTGATCACCCCGACAAGAGTGTGGGAGAGCCGAGTAGATTCAACAAAAGCCTTACGCTACAGTGTCATGCTCTGCCAGGCTTTGCCCCAGTAGCCGCGGGTGGGCTGGGGGTCGAGTCAAGAATGTCGGGTCACGTGACAAAAAAGTCGAGGTCGAACGGGGGGGTTACGGGGAGGGTCGGAGGTCACGCGGCTCGGGGCATGGCTTCTGGGCATCGGGGCCGGGGCGAGGAGGAAGGGGGAGGGGGGGAGAAGGGGGAGGGTATTCGGTCGGGGTATCGTGGGGTGGGAAGTCGGGAGGGTACTTGGCCGGGGAAAGGAAAAGAGAAGAAGAAAAGGAGGAGAATGAGAGGAAGAAGAAAAGGAAGAAGAAGAATAAGAATAAGACGGAGAAAGGGAAGAAGAAAGAGAAGAAGAAAGGGAGGAGGGGGGGGAGAGAAAGAGAAAGAGGAGGAGGAGGAGGAGAGGCGTGGTACAGTTGGCCTCGAGGGGGAGTTAATTAAGGCGGAACACCTCTACTGAAGAAAGAAAATATTCTCCTCTCTATCCCAGGTTTGAAACGTCGTCATTAGTATCAATCTAGATATTCTTTCCTTTTCTCTTTCTTTCTTTCTTTCTCTCTCTTCGTCATACGATTCGAACGATTAATTTCTCCTTTATAAAAGAATATGCTATACTTATAGTTTTTTTTTTGTATTCTCTTCCTTTCATACCAACTACCTGCTATTTTCTCTCCCCCCGTCGCTCCGGGCTTCTCCCTCTCTCCCCCCTCTCCCCCCCTCTCTCTCTCTCCATCTTCCCCCCTTTCTCTCTCTCCCTCTCCTCCTCACCCTCTCCCTCTTCCCCTCCCCCTTTCTCTCTCTCCTTCTCTCCCCCCACTCTTTCTCTCCCTCCCTCTCCCTCCCCCCATCTCTTTCTCCCTCTCCCCCCTCTCTCCCTCCCTCACTCCCTTCGCTACCTGCCCTTCTAATATCCCTTGTCTTTAACGGTCTCGGCGAATGACTTGAAGAAATCATTATCATCTAATACAACCCCTTGGGTCTTAATACTCGGAGGATCTGTCTTCCCCAAGGACAAGCTCAACAGAACAGGTAAATTTTAAAGCACAGGTAAGTTTTAGAGCATTGTTAAGTTTTAGAGCACGGGTAAATTTTAGAGCATTGTCAAGTTTTAGAGCACGGGTAAATTTTAGAGCATTGTTAAGTTTTAGAGCACGGGTGAGTTTTAGAACACGGTTAAATTTTAAAGCACGGGTAAGTTTTGGAGCACAGGTCAGTTCTAGAGCATAGTTTAGAGCACATTCAAGTTTTAGAGAACATTTAGTTTTAAGCGCATAGTTAAGTTTCAGTGCACAACTAAGTTCTATAACACAGGTAAGTTTTAGTTTTAGAGCACAATTTGCTATTAAAATCCTTCTCAAGGGAACGCCTTCATACGCCAGTCAAATATATGTTGAAATGGTCAACTCGAACATTAATGAGGAAGTGCAAATAAAGGTTAATCAAACGTAAAGTGTAAGGGTAAATTGAAGCTCTGATAAGGAAGTGCAATTGAACGCTAATGAGACGTAAATTGAAATGGTAAATTGCGTGCTTTGAGAAGGAAATGCAATTAACGAAATCTACTATAGAGAAAAAAAAAGGCAACATTAAAAGGAATTCTATCATCACCTTCTTCCTCTTAGTTCTTGGCTTTTGTTCTTTATATAGATATAACACGAGAAGAACCGCACAGCAAAACAATAGCAAAAAAAAAAAAGATAAAAAAAATGCAGTCTCTCCACCACACCCAACGTCTTCCTCCTTCGTCATGCAGCGTTATGGCGTCGGACCTTAACAGGCGCAGCAAAAGGAACCTCCCACTTCCTCTCGTCGGAAAGATTTACCGACAACCTCACCAGCGCATCACGACGCACTCCATTCCGGGCAGAGAAAACGTCTCTCTCGCACCGATAGGACGACGAATCACGTACACGCACAGGCATACGTACATATATAAGTATTAGCACGCACGAACGCAAGCACACACGCACATACACACACATTCCATCCGCAAGATCTCACATCCCCACTAACCATTCAACCTCAAATACCCACACGGCATAATATATCCCCATACCCACTCACTCACTCACACACACACACACACACACACACACACACACACACACACACACACACACACACACACACACACACACACACACACACACACACACACACACACACACGCTTCCATTCGCCCCATTCCTAACCCGTTTACCCGCCGAGTTAACGCCAAGTTCAAACCACACCTGCGTTGACTTCTCTTGTGATTATGGGACCGTGAAAACAATAGGGAAGATTTTCTTGCTTTTTCTCATAGCAGGAACGCCCTTAGACCCGGGGCATGGAGGTCGCGAATGGGTTGGCACCTGTGACAGATTTCTTAAGCGAATTTTCTTTACACTTTCTTAATGTATCCGTTTACTTTAAGATGTGTGGGGTCGGTTTTCTTTTGTGGGAAAGAGGGTCGAAACAATGCAAGTATCTGTCGCGGTATGTGTCACGGGAAAGGGAAATAAGAGAGAGAAAAAAAAAGGAAACTTGGTATAGAAAGCTGCAACTTGATTGATTATACGATGGCTCGGGTTAGAAATAAGAAAAAAAATCTTTTCTTTATCCATTTCGTTTACCTACGAAGCGTGAACGAAAGCCATGGGAAAATCAAATACAAAAAAGAGAGACAGAGAGAGAGAGAGAGAGAAGAGACAACTTTCACGTATCCATCCTTTCCTTTAAAGAAAAAAAAGAAAGGAAAAACAGAAGAAAAAAAATATCGTGGAGCGTTCGAATTGTGTGAAAATTTGCCGGTAAATAAGTACGCCAAAATGCCTCATTGTTCCCTCAATCTCGAAGGTTCCAAGAGGACAAAAAGAAAATATCCCGATGCGTATATGAAAGCGGGAAATAACATGTCATCCATTACAAAGCCAGACGGACAGACCACACTTCAAGCAGAACGGGGTAAGTCCGTATCCCCCTGCTGGGCCGACCGCAAGTTTCCTTTACTTATATTCTTTGCAAAACACTTGTGGATTTTCGATTTTCATCTGCGGGTTATTATACGATAAAAAAAAACGACCGACAAATACTAAACTCGACATCAATTAAGACTAATTTCTCCTCATCAGTCAACGTTGATCGTGAAGGAAAAGACATTTTATAGGCGTTACCCCCTTGAACACAGGGAGGGACGCACGCACCTCCGCGTTCGGCGTTTGTTTCATTTAATTTTTTTTACGTTCTCTCTTCCTCTCTTTCGTGGGGGGGGGGGGCAGGATGAAGGGGTTGAAATAGGGACAAAATTTAAATTAATGTGTTCGTAAATTGGGGAAAATGTAATACATTATATATATATTCCTTTTTATTTCCGGAAACAAATCACCTAGATTCTTTTTTCTTCTTTTTTTTTGGGGGGGGGGGCGATAAATGAGAATAGGAAACATAACTAAAATCATAATAAAATTAATTATAAAATTATAATAATAAATAAATGAAATGATAGTGGTGGTGTTGATGAATACAATAATAATAACAACAATAACCCTCATTACCTATATGGAAAAAATAAAACACCAACCTACCCAGTTTTCAGAGCTAAGGGGTTATCGGCATATATTTTTTTCAAGGGGAAAGTTTAATGGGTGCCGTACCATCCAGCGAGCTTTACTTTTAGGCTCGTGGGTGGCTGGCAGAGGGAGGAAGGGGGGGAGGGGGGTGGCGGCGGCCTACTGTGTCGCGTCAGAAATATGGGTGTGCTATTTTTTTTTTTCTTTCTCTGTCTCTCTTTTCGTTAGGGTTATGGAGGTATAAATGTATAATAATGAAAGATTTGATCCTTACACTGCTGAATCGATTACATGATTCAAAAAAACATTTGATCCAACTTCCGGTAGAAAAAAATATATATATTCAGAACTCAAATATCCAAACCTTCTCAGAACAACGAATCTAAAAAAAATAAGAAACTAAAATCCTACAGCACACACACACACACACACACACACACACACACACACACACACACACACACACACACACAGTATATACATGAGTTTGTTTCCCTTCTTTCATGTTTAAAATACATTCTATTCCGGATAAAACATATAAACTCGAAACACCCATACATTCTCTTCATCCCAGACAAAACACAAACATTAACACACCTTAAAATAAGATTCAAAAACCTTCAAACACATTTTTCTTCACTCCAAGCGGCCTACATTCACGGGCCTACATACATACGCAGCCCTCGACCCGCTCTGAAGGCGTCTACGGCAGGAAGGAAACGGCGCCCAAGAGAACAGGAAGTTTGCCGGTTTAATAATGGGAACCGGACTACGTTTCATTAGCCCGCCTGTGTCTTTCTCTCTCTCGCTCGCTCTTTCTCGCTTCTTCTGTCACGCTCTCGCTCTCTTTCTCTCTCTCTCGCTTCTTCTGTTACGCTCTCTCACTCTCTCTCTCTCTCTCTCTCTCTCTCTCTCTCTCTCTCTCTCTCTCTCTCTCTCTCTCTCTCGCTCTTTCTTGCTTCTTCTGTCACGCTCTCGCTCTCTGTCTTTCTCTCTCTCTCGCTTCTTCTGTTACGCTCTCTCTCTCTCTCTCTCTCTCTCTCTCTCTCTCTCTCTCTCTCTCTCTCTCTCTCTCTCTCTCTCTCTCTCTCTCTCCTGTCTCGCTCTCGTTGTTTCCGTCTTTTTCTCTCTCCTTCTGTCTTTCTTGCAGAGGGAAAAAAAGAGACAGAATAAAGACGCCAGAGAGAAAGAAGAGAAACGAGAGAAAGAGAAAGAAAGACGAACTATGTGAAATAACAAAAGAAGAGAAGAAGAAGAGAAGCAGAAGAGAAGCGAAGCGAAAGAAAAAAAAAGACAGAAAGATCACAGAAGAGAAATCGAAAGAAAGCAGAAACGAAAAGAGACGAAACAGAAGACAAGAGAAAAGAAAGGATAAGAAAAGAAAAGAAAAGAGAAGAGAAGACCCAGAAGAACCTCGCCTTTGCCACATAATAGCCTCACTCGCAAACGGCAAATAAACAAACCCCATTAAAATCCGTTTCTCTCACGTTTCATTCCCTTTACGTTTCGCGATCTCCCGAACTCCCGCACTCCTCGGCGTCATTCGAGAGTTTGTGACGATCTTGTAAATGGCGAGTGCGTGGTGCCGCTCCTGTGTGTAAATACGTGTGTGTGTGTGTGTTTTTATGTCATGTTTTTTTTTTTTTTTTTTTTTTTTGTGTGTGTGTGTGTGTGTGTGTGTGTGTGTGTGTGTGTGTGTGTGTGTGTGTGTGTGTGTGTGTGTGTGTGTGTGTGTGTGTGTGTGTTTCGTCCAACCACAACACAACACAAGACCCATTTCACATAACACGCTATCACATCACCCTCCAACACTCACCGTCTGCGGCTCGTTCAGCGATGCGGTGGAGGAGCACCTCGAGGACAACCTCCCGATGGCCAAGGAGGAGAAGCTGAGGGTCGAGTGAAGGCTGATCGAGTCCGGAGAGAAGCCCTTGAGGTCGGAGAGAGACGCGTCCTTGAGAGACAGCGTGTCTGGAGACGAAATCATGCTCTTGCCCTTGAGTGTCATCTCGGGGGACGAGGGGGAGATGTCGCCCTTGAGGCTGAGGGTGTCGGGGCACACGCTCGAGCCCCGGCAGGTGAGTTCTGTGGGCGAGCGGCCCAAGGACGAGGTGGAGCGGTAGGTCACGTGTTTCAGCATCCTTGGCACCTGGAGGAGGAGAAAGGGGGGGGTTAGAAGGGACATTGTCGTGGTGATAGTGATGAAGATAGTGAAGAAGATAATGATGAAGGTATTGGTGAAGCTGACCCTAGCGATGGTGATTTATTTGAAGACAAAAAAGATAATAAAAATGATTCATGGTGACAGGCAATTATGGTCCAGAGTAAGGATGACAATGATAATAACATCGTGTAAATTTCTTTGCGAGTTTTATAATCAACAAATAAAAACACACACATACAAACACGAGGAATAAAAGCGACTTAAACCTTAAATAATAAATAAAAACATTACAAAAGAAAACGATATTCAATTTCTACGCAACGCACACGTACTGAAAACGGGCCCAGAATTCCATAATTCCCTCCTAGCTTTACACTCACGCAAAACGAACCATCCACTCTCTTCAAACTAGGTTTCCCGCAGCACAATCACCATACATCACTCTAGAATAAGCTCCATATATACTTCGCGGATATACTGTATTCATCAGCATACTCATCCATCAACAGAAGACAAGAACGGGGTTAAGAGGGACGGGAAAAATAAGACCTGGCAACTCAGACTTGGTTAAGGGATTTCTGGCAAACAATTTGACGGAAATGATATCAATTGTCCTAAAATTGGGGAATTTATGAAAGTTTGTGGTGGTTAATGATAGTGAGTGTCGTCCCTTGCGTGCAGAAGTGGTAATAATGCATTGAATTTTAAAATATGATTATTCTAATAGGAATAAGAACAGAAGTTGTTGCATGTGAAGTAAATTTCTTTATTAAAACCGCCAGAAAAAATATCAGCGGTAAAACATAATTAAGTATGAAGTGTATGTCTACACAATAAATATCTAAAGATGATATGCACAACACTGACTCTCTTTCTCTCTATACATAATGAACACACACACACACACACACACACACACACACACACACACACACACACACACACACACACACACACACACACACACACACACACTGTAAGAGGTCAGACATGGTTAAGTGATAACAGGTGACCTATCGTCGCATTTTGACCCCAACTATCAAAAGTATTTTTGCACTTAATTCTTAACCAACGTGAAATGATAATGAACAGAATAAAAAACAGGCATAGATGAAAGACTATTTTAAATTGTTCATAAAAGATTTAAAAGTTCATGGCAATAGTCAACTTTACAAAAATATTGAGACTGGTATATTCACATGAAGCCATATATATATACAACAATTTTCGTGGAGATTTTTTTTATATCAAACTCACCAAATTTGAAAACACATCACAAAATTCACAAGTACATCTTGCTGTATCCAAAAAGGGGTGTATATATCCTTGGTATAATCTTCGGCACTATCAATTCGCTTTTCTTTTCCGATGTCACTCACAAAATCGCACGAGAGAAGTACGCACACTCACACCTTCTTTCAAGTCACAACATAGACTGCGTTACATTTTCTTTCCTGGCTTGGTGCCCGTGAAGCGGCAGGTTTCCATGTATTATTTTTTCCATATTAATTACAGTTGCTATACGTAAATTATTTATTTTATTATTATTTCAGAATTAGTGTCTATAATATCTTCAATCATCTGAGATACACTTATTTTAAAAAGTATATACATTTGTTTATTTATTAATATATATATAAATAAACATGTACCCACAACTTTCCTAGTTCCGGTGCTCCTCAGCTTGCTTGATGCTCATTGGTCGGTTGTCTGTCCGTGACGTCACCTGAAAGAAAGTCTGTCATTGGTCAACTCTTTAAGGGAATTCAATAGCACGGAGAGAGCAAAAGAAAGGGAGGAAGAGGTGTGTAAGAGATAGAGAATTGGAACGATAGAACAATATACAACAGTAAAAAAGGGCAGAAATCTCTCTCTCTCTCTCTCTCTCTCTCTCTCTCTCTCTCTCTCTCTCTCTCTCTCTCTCTCTCTCTCTCTCTCTCTCTCTCTCTCTCTCTCTCTTCCTCTTTTCCACCTCATTATTCCTTCCTGTTTCCTTCGACCTCCTTTTTCTGCTCTATTCCCCTGTCCTTCCCTCCCTCTTCCTTCCATCTTTCCTTCCTCTTCCTTCCATCTTTCCTCACTCTTCCTCTCCCTTCGTTTCCATTCCCTCTTCCCTCTTCCTGTCCCTTCCCTCCCTCTCGCCCTCCTTCCCTCTCCCTCCCAATCCATCAATCTGTCTGTCCGAAGGTAAGGGCACAGCATCCACCCCCCTTGCCTTACCCTTCCTCTCTCTCTTCTTCCATCGTCAATCATCATCTACCTTATTTTCTTCCTTTCTCTACTACCTTCTACCTAATTTTCTCCTTTCTTTCTCTTTCTCTCTTACATTCTCTCATCCTCTTTTTCCTTCCTTCTCTCTATCCCTTTACCTATCTCTCCCATATCCCTTCTTACTAACTCTTTCTTTCCTTCTTTTCTTTCTCTCCTATCCGCCTGCCTCTCTCCTACCTCCCCCACTCCTCCTCCCTCTCTTCCCCACACTCTCCCCTTCCCTCCTTGCTCTCTGTACTCTTTATTTCCCCTCTTTCCTTTCTTCCCTCACTTTTGCTCTTCCTCTTCCACCCCTTCTCTCCCTCCTTCCTCTCCTTTCTTTCTTGTCTCTCACCCCTTTCCTTCTTCCTCTTCTTTCTCTCCTTTAATCTTTCCTTGACTCCCTCCATTTCCCTCCTTCCTCTTCTCTCTTCATTTCCCTCCTTGCTCCTTTCTTTCCATTTTCCTCCTTCCTCATCTCTATCCCTTTCTTCCGTCTTCCTTTCTTCCTCTTCTCTTTCCCTTTCCCTCCTTTCTCATCTCCCTTCTCTTCAATCCTCCTCGCTCCTTCCTCCTCTGTCTCCCTTTATCTTCCCCCTCCTATTTATTCATTTATTCCCTCTCCTTCTCTTCTATTTGCTTCTTCCTCCTTTATTTCCCTCTTCTCCCCTCTCCTTCTCTTCTATTTGCTTCTTCCTCCTTTATTTCCCTCTTCTTCCCTTCTATTTGCTTCTTCCTCCTTTATTTCCCTCTCCCTCTCGCCTGTCCATCCCCCCTCATCTCCTTTCTCCCACCTCCATCCTTCCTCTTCTCTCTCCTCTCACCTCCTCCTCCCTTCCCCATCCCTTCTCTTCCCTTTCCTCACACCTCCCTCCCTTTCCATTCTTCATTTTCTCCACCCCCTTCCTCTCCCCTATCCCTCTTCCCCATCTTCCAACATCTCTCCCTTTTATCCCACTCCCCTATCCCTCCTCTCTCTCCCCCCTCCCTTATCCCTCCTCCCTTCTCTCCCCTATCCCTCCTCTCCCCCATCCCTCCTCCCCATTCCCTTATCCCACCTCTCCCCTATCCCTCCTATCCCCCATCTCTCCCCACCCCCCTGTCCCACTCCCCCCACCTCTTCCCCCTCCCTCCCTCATCCTCCCTCTATCCTATCCCCCTACCCTCCTCTTCCCCATCACCCCCCTATCCCACTCCCCCCACCTCTTCCCCCTCCCTCCCTCATCGTCCCTCTACCCTATCCCCCAACCCTCCTCTTCCCCCCACCTCCCCCCACCCACCCCTGTCCCACTTCCCCCTCCCTCCCTACTCCTTCTCAGCATGGGTTCTTCAACGCACCTTATGTCAGGTACCTAACGAGAGCACTCCTGGTTACTGCGTTTGCTCCTGGCCATTTAACACCTACCTGAGATCGACAGTTAGAATGGAGATCGTCATCGATAAAATCCATAAACTAAGATTTCGGTGGAAGAGCTGTGAGAATTGGGTTTATTTCACACGCAAGAAGGAGTCGTGTCGGTTTGTTTGTGTGTGTTTTTGCTTGAATTGTGTTTGTGTATGTTTGCATATGGCGTGCATTTTATTTGGGATGTTTAAGTCAATGTATGGTGATCGGTATTTTTCTATCTATATCTTTCTAGCTATGGCTACCTATAAATGTCTTTGTAGCGGTTTGTCTATCAAACTTTCTAGCTATATACATGCTTACATAAACACATATATACACTGCACAAACACACATATACATATATTCACGCAGGCACACACACACACATATATATATATATATACATGCGTACATACATACACACACACATACACACACACATACACACAAATACAAACATATTCAGGAAAAGGAAACTTTCCACTGAAAAAATATAAACATTTTAAGTAAGCCGGATGGAAAATACCTGAGTTGTATAATCTTAATGACGCAAGTGTACGCAAGTGTTTAATCTAAATGTGGTCAATATGTGATATCCTGTCACACACACACACATACATGCATACATACATACATACATGCGCAGATACACACACACACACATACATATGTACATACATACATACATACATACATACACACTCACACACATACATGTATACATACATATGTACATATATATGCACATACATACATACAAACATACACACACACACACACACACACATACATGCATACATACATGCATATATACATACGTACATACATACACACACACACAAGTGTTTAATTTAAATGTTTCGTGGTCAATATGTGATATCCTGTCGACAAAAAATGGCCTTTATTACTTAATAACTGCAATAATGCTATCAAATAATGTTGAAGAAACTTTCTTTCCTTAAAAACGAGGAAAAATGCATTAGAAATTAAGACTCAGTTGCGGTAGTAAAGATATTCATAAACAGAGTCACAATGAACTAGAGTGTTTTCAGGTGACAAACGTAACCATGGAATTGTGCTTTCTTGTAATTTTCTGCATTTGTGTGGTAGATAAGTATGTTTTCGCGTATATGTATATATATATCGACAGGATATCACATATTGACCACGAAACATTTAAATTAAACACTTGTGTGTGTGTGTATGTATGTACGTATGTATATATGTATGTATGTATGCATGTATGTGTGTGTGTGTGTGTGTGTGTATGTATGTATGTACATATGTATGTGTACATGTATGTGCGTGAGTGTGTGTGTGTATGTATGTATGTATGTACATATGTATGTATACATGTATGTGTGTGAGTGTGTGTGTGTATGTATGTATGTATGTATGCACATATGTATGTATGTGTGTGTGTGTGTGTATCTGCGCATGTATGTATGTATGTGTGCATGTATGTGTGTGTGTGTGTGTGTGTGTGTGTGTGTGTGTGTGTGTGTGTGTGTGTGTGTGTGTGCGTGTGTGTGTGTGTGTGTGTGTGTGTGTGTGTGCGTGTGTGCGTGCGTGTGTGCGTGTGTGTGTGTGTGTGTGTGTGTGTGTGTGTGTGTGTGTGTGTGTGTGTGTATATATATATATATATATATATATATATATATATATCAGTGGGAGAAATGGGTTGGAAACTAAGTATCAACAGATTTTGTTTCGCGGGAGCAACCAAGAAATACACACACACACACACACCCACACACACGCACACAAACATACACACACACACATACATACATACATACACACACTGACACACACACACATGCAATATATATAATGCATAATAATAATGGCAATGCATTAGAATGCTTGCCACATTTAAGCACAATCTTACTTAGAGCAATCTGAGAATATAAAAAATAACGTGATTTCTTTGTATGTTCGACATAACAGTTGAAATTGACTTTTTTAATGCTTTCATGCAAATGACTCTTTGTTCCTTGATGGCTTAGTCACGCTATTCACATTTGTTTAAAATTGAATTAGGTTTTATATTTAGCCGAAGTATATGTAATTTTTCATATTAATGTCATTCTGTTACAAAGATATAGGGTTGCATTATATATATTAAGGTATTTTCTTGAAGAAAAATATATCTAAAATTTCCCTTTTTAAAATACGTGCGGAATATAGATGAACAGAGAGAGAAATCCATCCGTGAATAACATCCCTTCATACAGTAAATGAACGAAATAGACAAATAGATTTATGAATTCTGAAATAAACCGGATTAAGAGATACAGATCGCACAGTCACGGATCAAGAAGCCGACCTTGTGAATGAAGCTTCGAGACTCTCTTGACCGAAACCTCAAGATTCATAATATTCGAAGTGTCCGAAGTGAAATTCGAAACTGGTTTGGTACAAGTTTTGCTTGTGACTTTGTTTCATCTTGATGGTTCATTGAAAAGAGTCGTTAAAACATTTAAGAAGCAGGTTAAAAGGCCAGGTATATGTAGGCCAATCCCAATCCCTTGCTCGTTGTTATTGTGGGGGGGGGGGGCTTCGGAATCAGAGACTGAGGCCCCGTGTAAGTGATCACCACTACCTTGGTCCTCAGCTCTCGTCTTAACTAATTTTGCGTGGTCTTATCTCCTCCCCCTTTCATTTTCCCTCTCTTCTTCTTCTTCCCTCATTCTTATGTCCACTTATCCTGATCGTTAACAAATTTTTGCCCTTTTTGTCACAATACTTTATCACAATGCTATATTTGGAGCTTCGTCCCCAA